ACTCTAGCCTATTTTCTTACACTGGTAAGCCTTTGCTGTTCTAGCAATAGCTAATACAATCTAGATGTTTTCGGACTAAATCTCATACAAAAGCTGCTCAATAAAACCAGAACCCTTCATGTAAGAATGACAAATCGCTACAGCAAAAGATTCAGTAGCGTAGTGACGTTTTAAATCTAAGTTTTAACCATCTGTTTTGCCGTAAATATAATCCGACCTTCTATAATGCAGAGATATTTGCAAAACTCCGGACCGCAGGTGTCTGCTGTGGGGAACGAACGCGCTATTATCTTTTCCAGGGAGTAACGCGTTCGCCACCACATCATGGGGGTCCTTCGTTTCGCCTGTCTCTCAGCTAGTTCTATCGGTTAAGATTGTGATTATAACTATATCCTCAACTTAACTGGGTTCAATGCCGATTCAGGCTCCCGGGATCAATCCCGCTGACGGGTGAGTACTGATGACAGTGATCGATAGATCTAGCCGAGACACCTGCTGTCCGGAGTGTTGCAAATATCTCAGCATTATCGAAGTTATATTTCGCAACACACCTTGCCATTAAAAAGAATTGGCAATAAATAAGAAGGTTAAGATTATAATCCGACCTTCGTTAGCATTACCATTTCCGGTAACAGATTTTTTTTTCAAAGCTCACGTTATATTCATTTACAATTATCATAGCCACTTCAAGCGTAGAAATTGCAATCTTTCTCGCATATTCTAGGGGCAGCGATGATTTCGGATCCTGATTAGCAGAAACTTTTTCCACCACAGCCTAATTCGGAGACTACAGAGAAATATACGTGGACACTTAGACGGTCTGTCTTGACGAGTTGCTGGGACCCCAGCACATTTGCTAATCGTTTTTTTTCTCAAAATCGTAGGATACACCTGCGGGTGCAGCTGATTAACTTTGTTCACGAACACGTCCGCCCAACGTGTAGGTGGTCGTCCAAGGAGACGTTTGCATTCTCTTGGAGGCCACTCTACTGTTCTTTTCGTCCAACTGCCGTCTGTTCTTCTCATTATGTGACCGGCCCATCTATGTTTCGCTGTCGATGTATATTCTCCTGGATCTCGAAGATGTGACAGATTTTCAAGGCCAGACTGCCGACTCCGGAGAGATGGAGGTCTTCGTGGGCCATGGGCACAGGGATCAATCCCAAGTGTATATTGCAGAACGCCTCGGACCACTGAGCCGCACGCGCCCTTAGTTGTTGATTATCCAGTGAATATGATTTCTGTTCATGAATACTATCT